TTTTTCGTGAGACCCGTAAGACCAATTTCTCAACCCTTGGATTAGATTTACAATCGTCAGATCTGAACATTTATAAACGCCACGAGACTTCTCATTAATTACGAAATTGTCACCTTGCAACTTTGCAACCATTAGATCATTAATTCATAAATTTGATCAATGAATATAAATTGATCTTACGGGTCTCACGAAATCCTTGGTCTCACGTGAACCCAACCATATATATATATATATATATATATATATATATATATATATATATAAAACAACAAAAGCTAAACCACTTGGATCTCATAATTACTACCCCACTCCACCTAAAGATGCAAATGAGACTAATAGGGGTTGGATTTCATAATTACTCATCCACTTATGATGATAACAAAAATAAATCCATGTTTGTATAAAAAGTTGTGTTAAAAATATTCAGAATTTTATAATTTTTTTAAAAATAAAGAATTAAAAATTAAAATCTTTAAAAATAATTTTATTTACTTTTAATTTTATTTTAAAGATTTAAACTTCCGTATATATTAAAATACTAAAATGGTACTCGTACAATGCAGCAAGGTACATCTCAGTTTTAGTGTTTTGTTTTATTCTGTTCTCTGTCGATGTTATAATGCGGTTTTATGTGGTTAAATAATAATATTTTTATTTTTGAATAAAATATAAATTTGAATATATCATAAAACTTTGAAAAAAAAATATATCGATATTAGTATCAAATTAACTATTTAAAAGTTGTTGTTTTGTTGTTTAATTTCTTTAATTCAATTTTTTTTACTTAGTTTAGTTTAGGTTTAATAACGAAATAATTTATTTTTGATTTAATAATATAATTTTTTATAAGATAATAATTAAATATTCTGTTAGAACACAATGATTATCTTAATTATATTTTATATTTTTTTATATTTAAAATGAAATGTTTATATTGTATTTGATTATGTTTATTTGCAGTTTGTTTTACGAATTCAATCATGGAGCTCTAATAAGTTATACTTAAACATTAATTTCTTGTAATCTTGAATTTTAAGTAACATGCATCAATAAATAATACTTCATGTATAAAAATAGTTTTTAAGAATTTTTATCAAATATTTTATAATATAGTATAAATTATATAGATTTTTCATTCCAGTAAATTTTTTCATATGAATTTATATAAAATCATAATAATTCAATTTCACTAATAAATATGAATAAAAAATAAATTTTCTGTCATAGGAATTCTATAGACTTGGAGCTATTTAGTTTTTATTATTTTAAAAAATAATATAAAAAATTAGTTGTAGCATAATCTATATTATTTTATAAACCAGATTTATCAAAAGTCTTAAAAAAATTTTTTATTAAAAAAAGCAGATTTTTTTTGTCAAACAAGATTCAGCTCTTAACGATTCAGAGATTGCCTCTTAATGAAACTATTAAGAGGTAAACAAACAACCCCTAAGAGACATATTTTTTTTGTCAAACAAGATTCAACTCTCAGCTATTTAGAGACTACCTTTTAATGAAACTATTAAGAGGTAAACAAACAACTCCTTATTCTTGATATCAGTGAATTTTTTTGAAATTAAATATTTAGAAGAGAGAAATAGTATTTTATAAATCTTCATCTTAATGTTTAGTTTTTATTCTTTGTCCCTATCGATATAATACGATTTTATATGGTTTTGAGAAAGAGATAATGTTTATTTTTGCATGAAATATAAATTTGAAGATAACATAAAAAAATTGAAAATATAATAAAATCGATATTAGTATTAAATTAACTATTTAATAATTCTTTTTTTGTGTAACTTCTTTAATTCAATTTTTTATTGTAATTAAATTTAGGTCTAATAACAAAGTAATTATTTTTGGTTTAATAATATATTTTTTTATAAAGATAATAATTAAATATTATGTTAGAACTTAATGATTATCTTAATGTATTTTAGATTTTCTATGTTTAAAATGGATGTTTATCCTTTATTTCATTATGTTTATCTGTAATTAATTATAGGAATTTAAAAATAGAGATTTAATAAGTTATACTTACGTAAATTTATTTGTAATCTTGAATTTTAAGTAATATACATCAATAAATAGTACTCCATGTATAAAAAATAGTTTTTAAGATTTTTTGTCAAATGCTTTATAATATAGTATATATTAAAATGGATGTTTATCCTGTATTTGATTATATTTATCTGCAGTTAGTTATACGGATTAAAAAATAGAGCTTTAATAAGTTGTACTTACACAAAATCATTTGTAATTTTGAATTTTACTTCATACATAAAAAATGGTTTTTAAAGTTTTTGTCAAATACTTTATGATATACTAGAAGAGTACTCGCGCAGTGCAATGGGACACATTTTGATTTTAATGTTCTATTTTATTATTTGTCTCTATCGATGTTATAATACGATTTTATGTGTTTTTAAGAAAACAATAATGATTTTATTTTTGAATAAAATATAAATTTGAATATATCATAAAAATTTGAAAAAAAAATATCAATGTTAACATCAAATCAACTATTTAAAAGTTCTCATTTTTTTATGTAATTTCTTTAATTTAGTTATTTTTATTATAATTTAATTTAAGTTTAATAACGAAATAATTTATTTGTGGTTTAATAATATAACATTTTATAAAAATAATAATTAAGTATTCTGTTAAAACTCAATAATTATTCTAATTATATTTTAGATTTTTTATATTTAAAATAAAATGTTTATCCTATATTTGATTATGTTTATCTACAGTTAGTTACACGAATTCAGATATGAAGCTTTAATAAGTTGTACTTACGCACAATCTACTTGTAATCTTGAGTTTTAAATAATATGCATTAATAAACAATACTTCATGTATAAGAAAATAGTTTTTAAAACTTTTTGTCAAATGCTTTATAATGTAGTATATGTATATATATTAAATATTTTAACAATATTCATAATATATACGAACAAATTGTTGAAGATAAACATAAATTTCTGTATAAATTTTGACTTTTAACACCCACTTGTACATCCCGCATAAAAACTTGTACCCTAATTCCCCAATTTAATTGTTATCGTAACTCGTAAAAAAAATCCAAATTCTAAGTAATCACATAACAAGTGGCGGGATATCAGCATACAAACGTTTCTCCGTTCCAACGGCGATCCGATAGGTGCTCTCTCTCTCTACCTCTTTCCCTCTCTCTTCCGTCACGGGAAACCAGAGTACATCCTCGTTCTCGCCGTCGTCATCATCATCAATGCCTTTGTGAGCTTCCTATTTTTACGCATTGGAAAATCTCTACTTTGATTTCTGGATATTGCATCGATTAGTATGTACAATTGACGGACCGGAAGCTGATTCTGTGAGATTCTAGGTGTTTCTACGTTGAATTGATATCTAAGGCCTCGTTCTCATGTAAGTTTAGAAACTTTGCACTTTTTATGTTGTTTTTTTGTTTAATTGATCATATATGGTGTTTTTGTTTGACGAAGAGATCAGTTTGTAGAATTCGGATTCGTTGTTTGTGTTGCATTCGTGTTGTTGAATGTTTGATACGTTTTGTTGAGTTTTTATTATTTATTAGCGATTAATTCAAATGGACAGGAAGAAATATCCGATCGGAGCAGAGCACTATGTGCTCTATGAGGAGATAGGGCAAGGCGTTAGCGCCTCTGTTTTTCGAGCCAAGTGTATCACCAACAATGAGATTGTGGCTATCAAGGTTCTGGATTTTGAACGAGGAAACTGCGATTTGGTAAATACGGATTCTGTTTCTTCAAAGCTATTATATTCTCTCACGATACATATGCAATACTTTCATGTTGTCAGATAAATATGCAATTTCCAGATACAATACTTTCATGTTGCGAGATCAACAAGCAGTTTCTTTTTTGTAATTTCTTCCGTTATTGTTTGTTCAATTGAGTTCAGAACAATGAGTAATTCAGATTCATACCTGGATAATAAGTTTTACTCAAATTTGGTTTCTAAAGCTTTCAGGTTTAATATATCATAGTCATAAACTGAAATAGTAACATATCCATGATTCAATTCTGAGGATTCACACACAGACATATTGAGAAAGAGAGGGGGAGAGAGAAGGAGCAAGTTTTGTGTCTTCACTTCATGATCAATGAGAATAAAAAATTAAGGCGGCGAACTTAAGAGGTCAAAACAGTTAGATTTGTTTCTGTTCCCTAAACGGTTTATTCTCTTTGATTCTAATTTGTAATTCATGTATTCCAATTTAATATATTTTGTAAAAACAGTTCTATCTTCTAAGTCCCTTTCATATTTCTTGATCATTGCATTCTACAATAATGTTAACCTTAAGAATGTGCAGTAAATAAGATAACTCCTTCACTTATAAGATAACAGAAATTGAGAAACTTCTATATAACAATTAGGAATTGAGAAACTTCTGTTTAAAAATTAGAAAGGAATCCAGTTATGGAAAAAAACGTATATATGTTAACCTCCGTACATCATTTATTGTATTGACATTCAAAGAAAGGAAGTTAGAAATGCGCCAGGAAGAAATTGGTGGTAGAACGGCATAGGTCTCCAACTTTGTTTTTAAGTGATATAAGATAACTGGAGTTATTTGAATTGAGTCCATGCTTGTTTGCACTTTTAACCAATGGCAAATTGCTTTACGGATTGGAAGCACCCAATTGTAGATGTATTGGGTAATCATTATTCTTCAGTTGCTCACTTGTTATCTTTTTTCCAGAACAATGTGTCACGCGAGGCTCAGACAATGATCCTGGTTGACCATCCAAACGTTCTTAAATCACACTGCTCATTCGTAAATGACCACAACCTGTGGGTCGTCATGCCCTTTATGGCTGGTGGTTCTTGCCTTCACATGTTGAAGGCTTCCCATCCTGAGGGTTTTGAAGAAGCTGTCATTGCAACTATACTGCGAGAAGTGTTAAAGGCATTGGAGTATCTTCACCATCATGGGCACATCCATCGAGATGTCAAAGTGAGTTTTGATTTCCACAATATTCTAAAGTTTCCTGAGTTTTTATGAATCCGTGTTTTTTTCTGCATGTACGTGTTTTCCTTCTGCATGTACGTGTTTTCTATGTGTACAAGAGATACACTTACAAGTCAGTGATGATTGGTTTTGCATTTTGCTGATGTATTATATTTGCTTAAACAGATCGTGTGTGCTTGTCGTTGTTAATTATTACTTTTTATTCTGGAATTTTAATTACTTGATTGGACAACATTAGAGTTTGAAGCATGAAGACATCAAGTAAATGGAGATTTTGTGCCCATTGATACTGATGTTAGGCTATATCTTATTTTCTTGTGATGGAGACATATACAATTGAATGAAAATTGATATATACATGGCATGTTCTATATAATGACAAAAATATGCCAAATCTACATCCTTGTATCTATCTTGTGTTGTTTTCTGACTCTCAGTTTGTGGCAGTAAGTCTCAGAGATAAGCACAATGAGAAAATTGTGTTTTTTCCATGAACATATCAAAACTTTTATGTTCCATGTATTCTTGATACTCCAGGATGTACGGGTTATGGTTTTCAAGATTGTCTTTGCTGTGTAACTACTAAGATTGTGCTGTAAGCAGATGTAGCATGTACTTATTTACTTAATGCATTAAAATAACCTTCGCTCTAACATGGAACATATGCCAGCCACTCGTTACTGTTTTCCATGAGGTATTGGCATGTACAATATATGATTTTCCATGCAGTCTGCTATTGACATCAATCAATTTATCTATATCCAACATTTCCATTTATACAAACTTATTCCCTTCAGTTTTATGGGATTTTAATTTCTTTTTTAGCTGTTCTGATATGTTCATTTTTAACTTACCAAATCTGCTTCTGGTACTTGTGATACAAGACATAACTTTTTTTTTCTTTTATGCATCTTCTGTTTATCTCCTCCCTTGTTTAGCTTTATCTAGTCATCTACAAAATTCACAAAGAGATAATTCTAGATTCAAAATCACAATGGTAATGGAGCTCCAAATCTCTGTATACGGATAACAGACAAGACTTCCCATGAAGTGGTTCAACTTTCTTTTTCCAAAATAAAAAGTACAGCTGACAGAGAATGAGGAGTTCATATTCAGGTGCTTGGTTATACGCGTGCCTATACATCCTTGAAAGAATAAAAATCCAATCTATATCTTGCAAAATATATGAGGCATCATTTCTTTCATAACTAGTCTTACCCTAGATGAATGTCCTTATAGTTTATTCATGTGTAAGGCCAAATGCTTTACAATAGATAGATTGGATTGTGAGATACAATTTTGAATGCCTGGTAGTTGCTTCTAGTGTTGGCTTGAATTTTGGTTCATCTTTACCTGTGCATAGTAAAAGTAAAGGGTAGAGCATATATAAATGCTTTTGATTGTCTTCTGTCTTTTTAAATGTTGTATGAATGGTGTATTTAATCTGGATCAGTTTTGGCTGTTTGCATAGGCTGGAAACATTCTCATTAGTGACCAAGGTGCAATCAAGCTGGGTGATTTTGGTGTTTCTGCTTGCTTATTTGATTCTGGTGATAGACAACGCGTGAGGAATACATTTGTTGGGACACCATGCTGGTAGTATTTTCTCTCCATTAGTGATTCTCATCTAATTTCTTGTACTAACATTTGCTCGTCAAATTTGTTTATTTGTGTTGTCATCAAGGATTTCTTATATGGCTTATCCAATAATTTGAAATTTAAATGGATGACTTTGTTTGAACTTCTACCCACTAAGGCCTTATGTTTTTGTTAGGATGGCGCCTGAGGTTATGGAGCAATTGCATGGATATGACTTCAAGTCTGTATTCTTCTTTGCCACATCAATTTTTTTTCTTTTTTATTCAAATATAAAATGTTTTCTATTCATACTAAAACTAACTTCCGTTGAAAAAAAAAGTTACGGTGGTACAATTTTCTGCTTGAAACTTTCTGCAGGGCTGATATATGGTCTTTCGGCATAACGGCTCTGGAGCTTGCTCATGGGCATGCTCCTTTCTCTAAATATCCCCCAATGAAGGTGCCTTTATTTTGTACTACGTGTCTTAATGTGGTTGATTAAGACTCGTTGCGTCTGTTGGTATGTACATTTAAGCTTTCACGACCTAAAATACTTTTCACTTGGTAGGTTTTGCTCATGACCTTGCAAAATGCACCTCCTGGTCTTGATTATGAGAGGGACAGGAAGTTTTCCAAGGTAACATGTTTTGATTTTTCTCGACACTTTTGGAAATATGTCATCTGACACTTCTCTTGATATGTTTTCTGTCTGAAGTCTTTTAAGCAGATGACTGCAAGTTGTCTGGTTAAAGATCCTTCAAAGCGTCCTACTGCAAAGAAGCTTTTGAAGCATCATTTTTTTAAACAAGCTAGATCAAATGATTTTATAGTACGCAAGCTTTTGGAAGGCCTGCCAACAATTGGTGACCGCCTTCAGGCGTTGAAGGTTGGTCTGTGAATTTATTTTGTGTTCATATAAGCTGTTCATGTTATTTCCACTCCATTTACTGTGCTAAGAAGTTAATTTTGCAATAATAGAAAAAGGAGGAAGATATGCTTGCTCAAAAGAAAATTCCAGATGGGCAGAAGGAGGAAATGTCGCAGGTAGGGTTTCGGGAACATAATGAAGAATATGTTTTGTGTTTCATTTGGTGGAGTTGGGCTGTTCGCTGTTGTGCTACAAAATGCCTTGTTATATCTTCTTTTTGTTGGCTGCATTTTCTATTTGATGGCAAGATGATGGTTGCCCAAACATTGTACTGTTAGTTATGCATTTAGTGGTCAGAGTTAAATTTGATTCGAGTGTGGTTCAACAGTTTTCTCAGTTGGGGCATGGTTCCCATGTAATTGTTATTCCTTCTCTACCTCTCTTCCCCAACTCATCTGATGATTGGGCTGCCAATACTAAGTATGCTAATTTTGTTTTTCTTCTTTAGTTAGTTTCTGATTCTTAATTGTGTTTTATAACTTGCTTCCAGAATGAATATAAAAGAGGGATCAGCGGATGGAACTTCGACCTTGAAGATGTGAAGGCACAAGCTTCCTTGGTATGACACCTAAAATTTACTCTACATAGAAATGGTTATACACAAAATTGGAATAGCCATTCTGTTCACTAAGGTTCATCAGTGACTCTATTCTTCATGTAACAAAAGATCCACGATGAGGACGGTGTATCTGACAAGTATCAATTGGGGAGCATGAATTCCTTCCCTGGGACTGGTGCTAGTGAAAGGAAGCTTCTACATCAATTGTCATCCTTGAGCGAGGCTTCAGAAACTACTGAAGTTGTATGTCAATGTCCTTTTGATGATTATTGATATGCGTTAAATTTTGGCTTTATAATAATGATTTAAACGCCTTGTAGGAAGGAGCTGCTCCAAATATCTACTCTAACCCGAGTTTCAACATGTAAGTTCACGTCAGTTCAATTGCACCATTTCCTATAAGATCATGATGTATATCTTCTACTTCAAGTTAATTTTACAAGCGGTTTCCTTATACTCCCTCTGCCCTAAAATAAGTGTCCATATTTCTAGTTTAGTTTGTCCCAAAGTAAATGTTCGCTTTCAAAGTGTCTACTTTCCATTTATACCCATAATTATGAGATGGAGAAATTCATTACTCTTTGTATTATTAAGGGTGAAATTTCCATTTAGTTAGTTAAAATTGTAACAGTTACAGGTTTCTATGACCATGTGCCTTCTCCATTGTGGACAAAGTATATTTTTATTGAAGTTATTGCATCTAGTTTGCATGCATGTGTATTATTATTATTATTATTATCCCATAGATTGGTTTTATTTTTTATATATCTCAAATGTTCAGAGGAAAATATGAGAAGTCTGAAGATGAGCTAAGCATTGCTAGTTCAACCAATGGACAATTGGTTTCGCAGAATTCTTCTCCGCGTGCTGATAATTTAGGTGAATTTGATCTTTCTGGAAAACGCAACATGGAGATCAATGGGAAACCCTTTGATGGCATTGCTTCTCATTCTCACCAGAGGGCAGCTTCATCTGGTTGTATTGCTTCATTGGATAGGTATGATAACTCACATAAACGATACTGAAAGAACTTTGTATCTTAGGCTTAGCTTCTGGTATTTTAACTACAGCATGTTGAATCAGTAGTCTCCTGGCATGTACATGTACTAGGTTTAGTAATATTATACTTGTCAGGATGCATTTTTTTTGTAGGGATTCATGATTTGTGCACACTTTCATCTGCTAGGAATAATTAGCATAGAATTTTTTTGAGGAAGCGTATTTATTTAGATAATAGTCCAAGGTTCAACATACATATAGATATAACTATTGCCAGTGTGAGAATTGTTGAATGATTAACAATTGAGGAAGACGAGCACAAGATTGAGAGCCAAAGTTTGGCTAGGATTTTCTAAGATTAAAATTTTTAAGAACGTTACATGTGTAGAAGAAAAGAAAATATATATAGACCTACTACCAGAATACTGAAATGATAAAACTAGCCCCTATACTATAAACATAATAGCTAATTAACGTAATATTAGTCTAACAACTAGAGTAATATGACAGCATTGATAAATCTTAATATCATCTACATATAAAAAAGCCAACACTTATCATATCGTTTTCCAATTTGAGCTAGGGTGTGTTTCTACCACTATATATATATATATATGCATATTCAGTTATTAACCAACTAATTGATTCTAAATCTTCTTCCTTCACTCTTTTCCACTGCATTTTTTTGAGGTCAGCAGTATTTTTTTTAAAGGAAATTAATTGTAATTTAAAAAAAAAAAAATTCAAAAGTTTGATGGGGCCTGTCTACGCCGCCTCTCATCAACCAGGCCTTTTGTGCTGACATGTTAAAATGACCACCTTTTAATGTTTCAACACCACAAAATTGCTTCACAAAATGCATGGATTAGTAGCTTATCTCTGTTAAGAGAATAGCACATATTGATCTTCTCTGTGTGAAGTCTCACTTGTCTCCTCTCTTTTACCTTTGATATGTTCTTATTTGATTATATAAAATTCCAGTGAGAAATTGCAAAGTCAGTTCGCTAAAGTACCTAGTTGCAATGGGTCCCGATCACTACCAACGGATGATATTATTCCTGAGATCATGTCGAAAGCTCATACGCCATCATGTAAGCAATAACATTGATTAATTACTCTCTAATGTTTCATCAGTTACCAAAAGGTCATTAGCCTAGCAGTACCTTGGTTACCGGTAGTGCCCAGCCTCCTAGGAGGTCAAGGGTTCAAACCTCACCAAAGGTGAGAAGTGCGTGTGAATATTTGTCATATATAAATATTATATACTTTTAAAAAGGCTTAATAGTTTAGTCTTATATCATTGCTTATGGAGAGTTACTTGCTATTCATCATCTCCATGTTCTACTGAAGGCAAAGAGTAATAGTTTTTCTAACAATACTGATGAAACAGCAAATGGTGATGAACAAGACGAGAAAGCAAAATGTCCAGTTGTTCAACAGAAAGGGCGTTTTAAGGTTACTTCCGAGAGTGTCGACTTAGACAAGGTATCTTAGCAGTTCTAAATTTGAGGTTTCCATGTTCATCCAGATTGAAATTAGAAATCACTTTTTCTATATTTGAGGTTTCCATGTTCATCCAGATTGAAATTAGAAATCACTTTTTCTATATTTGAGGTTTCCATGTTCATCCAGATTGAAATTAGAAATCACTTTTTTAAGCATGTAGTAATAATTATACAAAAAATCACTATTTTTTTGCAGGCTGCTGCTGCTCCAACTCCCATATTGCAGAAGAGTCAGAGCATGCAGGTTTGTATATACTCGCCTCAAAACATCACAATCTCAGAGCATCACTACATTCTTTCTTGACCATCTTCGTTTGCAAACATTCTAAAGAAAATCCACTGGTATTTTTGGTAATTGCATGCAAGTGGCCCCATCATGGAAGACTTAATATATGGATTTATACTACTCCCTATGTCCGAAAATAGATGTCCACAATGAAAAAGGACATGATTTTAGAAATGCGTGATTATCACACTTTCTAATTACTAAATGACAGTTTTATCCTTAACAATAGACGAAGTAATGAATTTCTGCATTGCATAATTAAGGATAGAATCGGAAAGTCGGCCCTTACTTTTGAAAGTGGAAACTTATTGTTAGACAAACTAAAATGGAAATGTGGACACTTATTTTGGGATGTAGGGGGTACTAATGATGTATATATATGTTTGCTTAAATTACCTTTTGTGTTTTTGTCATTACAAATACATCCATGTAATTCATGAAGCCGGGCATGATCGAACAAGTAAAAGGGATGTTGACATTTCATTCTTTGTTTTGGAATTAGATGTTTACAATGAAGTTTGAAAAAAGCACAATCATATGTTGAGCAAGAGATTGCACTGCTAATTCGTACCTTTGGTTTAAATCCCAGAATTATTGTAGAAAACTTGAATTGTTAGGAGTGAAAATCAGAATCATGAGTAAATAATATTTATTGCACCTGGAAAAACTATGTCTGATATCAGAATCTTGAGCAAGAAAGAGAATTTCTGGGCTGTTGTTTCGGTTTGCCTCTTCTCCATTATGTAAATAATAGTGAAATGTGGTGGGCAGCAAACGTATTGAGGTGGTCCAATTTTCTGATATAGAAAGATTGTCATGCTCTTGAGTTTGAAAGAATGATACTGTTGGAGTCCCACATTGGCTAGCTTGGACAATTTATCCTCAATTTATGTTGGAACCTCCCTTCTCTTCTCTCCTTAAAGGCTCTTTTAATGGGGTTTTGTATATCCTCACATGGTATCAAAGTCAATGTTTACCATTCTAGGAACTCGACACTCTGGGACAATCTGCGCCCGTCTAGCCTCCATTGGAGGGGGTGTGTTGGAGTCGCACATTGGCTTGAGTTGGACCAGTTTTCCTCAATATATCATATATGTTGGAATCTCGGACCTATGAAGGCCTCAGCGGGTCCTGTGCTCCCGCTCAACTGATTTTCGCAAATAGATTTTTTTTGGGGTATGAAAGGTGCACATGCTAAACTTTGAGGGGTGCTCCGGGATATTAAAATATACAAGAGACATCAACCAAAAAGTCGTAAAAGTCCCTCGAAACGGTGGAATTTGGCTAAAAAGACTTCGGGTAACTTTGCAAGCCTTTGATCCACCTTAAAGGCGCACCCGCTCGGCAAAACCTTGGGTCCCCTGCTGACCTCTCTTCTCTCCTTAAGGGCTCTTTTGGACATAAATCTAATAAGGCTTCACATATTCTCACAATACCACATTTCTTAGTAACTTTACAAATATTTTATGGTCTTTGTAGGTAATAAGCCATAGTTCTGCCGGTTCTCAACCATCTCATATTGATGCTATTCCTATTCTGCAAAATCATCATAGCCATCTTCCTTTGCCTGCCCTACAGTTCATTTTGCAGACAAATGCTCTTCAACGGGTAAAACACAATTTTTTTTTACATGTATCTGATGTCTTCTAGTTTTGTAGATGAAGGATCGCATGAGAATATGAGTTAACATGAGAAGCGTATGAAGGGATCTGGACCCTTGATCACTTTTAATCTCACCCCACCCCATGAATTGCTCTGGATACGGGATTGATCCGGTGCATCTCGGTACTGTTGATCTTCAATTAGGATTGATCCAAGGGTGGAGATCTCTTCTTACCCTTCTCGCCATAACTTCAATTCTCAGCAGAACCCAACCCAGTTTTGTATTTGCTTAAAATTATAACAGTGTTTACATGTTACTCTACAGGATTGCATTATGAGTCTAATAAAGGCAAACTCCACCGCTGATTCTACAGGTTGGAGCCGTTACCATATATCATTATCTTTTAGATTATCTTTTTGTTTCTTGAATGTTTTTTTTACTTGATTGTTTTAGCCCACCTCAATATAGATGGAGGATTCACGTCAACAAACTTTCCCGCACTAGATAAATCCACGGTATGTACCCATGAAAAGTAACTTTGTAAGTTGGCTAATGGTTAGTTTGGAAATTTCATGCATATTCCCTCATAATTGGTGAGGTTTGAACCCTTGACCTCCTGGGAGGTGGAGCTGTACCTGTAACCCGGGTACTATTGGACCAATAACTCTTTGGTTACTTTGTGGTCCTAGGTAAACATGACGACACGTTGAAAGATTGAGACCTCTAGTGCAAACGGAACTTCTAATGATTTAGGGTTTGTTTACCAAATACTCACCTTACCGGGTGAGCATGGCAAAGACCGGGAATCTCACCCGCTCAGCACTTGCGAGGTAAAAGGCGCTTACCAATAATCCATTTTAATAACCGAGAGTGTTACCCGATAAGGTGGTGACTCTAGTAAGCGCTTACCCGGTAAGCGTTTGGTAAACGGCCCCTTAATATCCGTACTTTGTGAAGATGTGCTATAATGGCTGTTTACCACCTGCTTACCGCCTCTCACTGGGTAAGAAATATTGTTGTTTACCAAGCCCCTCATATTGGTCCATGATGCAAACCGAGATTTGGGACCTAGTAAGCTAAGCGAGGGACTCATCGGTTAATGATTAGTGTTGACCCAGACCACTTTCTTGCCGAGTTAGTGCCTTCCAATTTGTGTTGATAAACGGGACCATAGGTCCTGTTATGACCATAAATGATGCCCCCATTTGCCAAAGTGAGAAACTGTGAGCATAGTCATGAAACTTAAGACTCTTCCATTAATTTCTTTTATCCATGGGGAAAAAGACGAAGAATCATGTGAGAATAGGAGTTAAGGTGAGAAGTGTTTGAAGGGATTTGGACGATCACTTTTAATCTCAAACCAACCCATGAATTGCGCTTTAGAAGGGAATTGATCTGATGTTTCTCATTAGTGTTGATCTAGTGGAACTCTTCAATTAGGATTGATCCAAGGGTGGAGATTCCTTCTTACCCTTCTCATGATAACTCTCATTCTCACGGAACCCAACCCCGGGGAAATATCATGCATTGTGTTAATAGTGGAAGTAGTCTTTTAGAATTACATGACGAAAAATCGTTTTCAATGAACTACTATTGTTGGCCTTGATGTAATTCAATATATGCATTTAGCAAAGAAGTTGTGTTCCGAGAAAAAAAGATCAAAAGATGAATTTCTAATGATCCCGTTATTCTCTCATTTGCAGCTAGAAGCACACAGCAGTAGGGAAAAGGATTTACTTAACGAAATAACTTATTTACATTGGAGGTATGCAGTTATTCTTCATGGTCAAGCATTCGTAGTTGGTCGAATGCAATTAATACGCTATAATATCTTCCATCTTCCTACGTAGGCTCGCATGTGCACAAGAGGAGCTCCAGAAATGCCGAGCTGAAAATCCCCAGGTTCGTCAGTTTGCAACCTTGTATCCCTATTCTTGAATTGTACTTTATCCTTTCTGAACCGCTCGGTTTTTCACCAAAATCTTTTTGCAAACACTTTTCCGCAAGCCTGAGGGTATTCATGGAATCAGTTGCTCTACTCATCGGTTGCTCTACTCTTAAGGGGGACGTTTGGTTTGACAGAATGATTTTGGAGGATTTGAATCTTGGGGAAGGATTTGAATTTGAGGGTTTTGGATTTGAAATGTTCGGTTTGTCGGATTTGGAATGAATTTTTTTTTTATTAATTGACTATTACAAAACAAACTTTTTTAACATATTTTAAAACATTATTACAATACAAATCTCTACGAAATCCCATGAAATAACAACCATCTCATCCAAGATTTCAATTCTAAATCTCTCAAAATCCATTTCATTCCCACAAACCAAATGGGGCCTCAGGGTAGGACAAGTTTGCTTACGTCCCGCTAGGCATGGCAACGGGGAGGGGATGGGGTGGGTTTTGTAATCCCTGGCCCCGGTTTGTAGTAACGTCCCCCGGCCCCGGTCCCCGGCGGGTACGGGGATTATTATCCCGTCCCCGGTCAAATCTCTAGCAATACCCGGTCAAAACCTGGTAAAACCCCGGTCAATCCCCGTAAATAGTATCCTTTAGTTTGATTCTACCGGGATCCCCGTCCCCGGTTTGAGTCTACCGGGGATCCCCGGCCCCTGGACCCGTTTTAACGGGGAATCCCTGTCCCTGTTCGGGTCGGGGCAAATCACCATCCCTACATCCCGCTCCCCAACCTTACTTCCGAGTGGGTCCTCTTTAAATCCATGACCTCCGGGGAAGTTTAAGGATGCCACTGATTAACAAAATTCTAAAAACCTATTCTGAAGGTCACATATTTAAAAAACTGCTTATTAGGAGTCACGAGTAGGACATACTAAGCGTGTTTGATTTCTTTATGAGATACCAATTTGTGATTTGTCGTTTGCAGGTATGAATTTTAGAAACCGAAAACCTTTCCTCCCCAAAATCGTCACCAGAATAAGAAAAATAGAGTGTAGGTGCATATAACATCTCAACTCTTTTGCTGTTTGAGGGTTTGAGGAATAGTTGGAGGGAATGAGAGATAATGTTCCCCTGCCCGCATCCCCACCCTTATGTTTAGGTTTTTCATTTCTCTTGCTAACGTGTCACTATAGGAACATGGTTTTACTTGGTTCAACCACATTTGTGCATAAATTAATGTCATCATTGCTCTATATTTGTACATGAAGTACCCTTTATGTATTCACATAGAATTGGATCTACATATCCTCCCTTACTTCTTCATTTACATTGTCTTCTCCAAGTTGAAAGGAAAAAAAATATTTTTTATTTGTGTTCTCGAAAGGGAAAGAAAACAAAGGAAATAATTTTTCATATTTTTAAACGGAAGGAAAAGGAAAGATGTCGTTTTTACAAATATACTTTATAAAACTGTATCATTTATGATGAAAGGTTGAGTAGTTTTGTAATTTTAATAATGTTTTTAAAGGGTTTTAATTTCTTCCTTTCCCTCCTTTTCCTTTCCTTCATAAAATAGGTTTCGAGAACATAATGTTAAGCCCAGCACTAGGGATGTAAACGAATCGAACGAACATGAATGGAGGCTTGTTCATGTTCGTTCGTTTAACTTAACTGAACAAACGAACGAACACGAACGGTAAACGAACGAAAATCTTTGTGTTCGTGTTCATTCATTTAAAAATCAGGTGTGTTCGTGTTCGTTTATGTTCGTTCGTTAACATGTTAAACGAACGTAAATAAATATTATTTGAATTCAAAATAAATAAATAAAAGATTATATATTAAATTTAATATATAAACGAACATAAACAAACGAATATAAACGAACGAACATAAAATGAACGAACGAGACTCTTGTTCATGTTCGTTCATTTAACTAAACGAACATAAAAAATTGTTCATATTCGTTCATTTATTAAATAAACGAACTTCCCGTTGAACGGTTCGCTGAACGTTCGGTTCATTTACAGCCTTACCCAACACCTTGCCTTTTTTTTTTCTTTCTAAATGTCTATGATGAAAAAGACACGTACTTATATAAATATGTAATTATTAAAATTTTTAATTAATTAAATGATAATTCTACAATTAATAATAAATCTCCATGTGATAATTAATCAACCCTTAATAATGAATGGGGTTCAATCACGCTCATCCCTGAAACGATGATATCTATCTTCTACCTTTTGTTTATTGGTACATAACTATACGTTGGGGATACTCGAGAGTAAAATAGATGTAAAATATAACCACAAGGGTGGTAGTATGGTTGCTAAAGACAAGGAGATGATAAATTCAGTTTGGGTTTTAATCCTGGCGTCTACATGTGTTTGTTTGTGGCCACTGCGAGATTTATCTTATAGCAGGGTTGTGGACAAAACCTACAGTCGTGACTTGCCATAAGATTAGTCTGGATGAAACCTAGAATCACCCATTTCGGAAATAGATAATAGAAGATGAAGAACAAAAACACATACACCAATACAAAATAACATTCATCCATTTCAAGGGTGGTTCATATCTATGCTATATTATAAAGCATTTGACAAAAAATCTTAAAAACCATTCTTTATGCATGAAGTATTGTATATTAATTCATATTACTTAAAATTCAAGATTACAAGTAAATTATGCATAAGTACAACTTATTAAATCTCCATGTTTGAATTCGCGTAACTAACTGCGGATAAACATAACCAATTATAAGATAAACATCTCATTTTAAAATATAAAAAATCTAAAATATATAATTAGGATAATTATCGAGTTCTAACAAAATATATTATCTTTATAAGAAAATTATATTATTAAACCATATTTAAATTACTTCGTTATTAAACCTAAATTAAATTATAATAAAAAAATTAAATTAAAAAATTACACGAAAAATATGAATTTTAAATAGTTAACTTGATATTAATATCGATATATTTTTGTCAAATTTTTATGATATCCTCAAATTTATATTTTATTCAAAAATAAAAACATTATCGTTTTTCCAAAATCACATAAAGACCTTACTATAACATCGATTGAGATAACGAATAAAATGAAATATTAAAATCAAGATATATCTCGTTACATTGCTCGAGTAACCTTCTAGGAAGGAGAGAGAGAGAGAGAGAGAGAGAGAGAGAGAGAGAGAGAGAGATGATACAAAATAACATTCATTCATTTCAAGAGGGTGGTTCATATGAACTCAAATAAACATAGCAACAGGTGAAAACTAATTAAGAGCTGAGTTGAAGGAATCTTATGGCCATAGGATGCTTAGCTTGGGAGAGATCCTCAGACCTCAGGACTTCAACAATTTCACCCCCAACAAGAAGGCAAACCACATCTGCAATCCTTTGAATCTGTTTGATGCTATGAGAAACCATAGCAATTGTCATCCCTCTACTCTTCAGCTTCACCAACACGTCTTCCACGTTTTGCGTAGATATTGGATCCAACGCACTCGTTGGCTCGTCTAACAACAGAACCTGCAGACGACAACCGCAACACAAAACCGAAATTGAGTCAATAATCTATACTCCTTCTGTCCCAAACTAAGTGTCCTCAATAGAAAAGGATCTCCACTAAGTGAAGACCAACACTAATGAGATGCACCATATCAATTCCCGTGATAAGCACAATTCATAGGGTGGGGGTGAGATTAAAAGTGATCAATGTTCCAGATCCTTTCTTACGCTTCTCAACTCTTATTCTCACACGACCCTTCGTCTCAATAGAAATTGCACATAGTTTCAGACATTAATGATCACGATACTTTTTAGTTAAACAAATGAGAAATTCACCCTTACATAATGCATCTATTCGACTCTTAATTATCTGTGCATTAATTAAGGGTAGATGCGGAAATTAAGTTATCCATTTTTGAAAGTAGATACTTATTTTGGGACAAACATAAATAGAAATATAGACACTTATTTTGCAACGAAGGAAGTACTATATGATAAAGCATTTTGTAAAAACAACTTATTAAGCAGTATATGCAAACTTATTTAATGGATAGATTTGGGATCACGTGAGAAAAAAGATTTTCAGTGGAAAACGTGAGAAATGGTGAATCTGCTTTTATATTGTGTGAAGGTAACGTTATATTTTGTGATGGTGGTCACCTCTCACGCCTTCACACAGTATAGCATATACTGTGTAAGGTTACGTTTCTCATCAAAAATGGCATTTCTCACGGGAACTCATAAATCTCTTAAAATTCAAGTTTGTTGTTTATTATCTGGATATGTACAACTTATTAAATCTCCATGTTTGAACTCTATTGAACATGTTCAAATACTGTTAAGCTTTTAAGTCTTACTAATACAGCATAATACTATAAATTTCAGATTTTCTTTTTTAATGAAACATCACATTAATTTTACAATAAAAATTTACATAGAAATCAAATACCGGCATCAGGCCAAAAATATGGTTATCGGTTTACCTAGAAGCTTTTAAGTCCAATGAAATAATTCAAACCAAGTGCGAGAATACGTAGAACCTTGTGTTAAATCACTATAAAAAGAGCCGTTATAAAGAAAAATGAGGTTCCAACATATAGAAAAAATTTGATGGTTGATGTGTGATCGATGTGGGACCCAACACGCCCCTCAAACGAAGACTAAGCGGTGCCCCCAATAGCAAAAAGGTATGTCAACGATCTATGGGGTATTAGGCACTATCACCCCAAAAAAACCAAACTCTGCCTTACGTAAAGTTGCCAGAGGCCCAGAGTACGATTTGGTCCGTTAGGATGCCTCAGCTGCATACATAACTGCACCCTTGTTGGTCCCGAGGGACAGAGGAGGCTAGGTTAGCCGAAAATTTCCTAGACCGATAGATGGTGTGAAACCTGGCTCTAATACCATGTTAAAATAATAAAAAACCATCTAAATCTCTATCTAAAGTATATGGAGATTAGCCGATTTGGGACTCCAACACCAAGTAACCGAACGATAACACATGGGTATTGGCTAACAATTGAAGCGAAACTAAATCGAATTACCTCTGGTTCATTGGCTAGTGTTCTAGCAAGTGCAACTCTTTGCGCTTGACCGACAGATAGTTCGCTTCCTTGTTTATCGAAGAAAGAAGAATCGAGATCAGCGATGGTCAGCAACTTGTACACTTGTTCATCTTTAAGTTTCTTTCCTTTCAACTGTGGCCCATATCTTATATTATCTGCAACTGTACCTGTTCCAAATGGTTCAAAATCAAAAGTTGTGAGAATATGCCATCAGATTACTCTCCAAAAGAGTCTTTTGAGGAGAGAAGGGAGATTTCATTGTATATAGTGGATAAATGGTCCAAATCTAACCGATGTGGGACTCTTAACACATCCCTTCCAACAAAGGCTAGCTGGACACGAATTGTCTCTAGTGTTGAGAGGGGGCTAGATGGGTAGAGTGTCTTGTGCCTCATAGTGTCGAGTTCCTAAAGTGGTAGATATTGACTTTGATACCATGTGAGAATATGTGTAACCCCATCAGATTACTCTAAAAACAGAGCCTTTGAGAAAGAAAGAAGGGAGATTCCATTGTATATAAAGGAGAAAATGGTCCAAGTCTAGCCGATGTAAGACTCTAACACATCCCTTTCAGCCGAGACTTACGGGTACAGATTGTCCCAAAGCGTGAAGGGGGCTAGATGGGTGAGGGGGCAGGGGCAGACCTATGAAGGTCCGAGCGGGATCCTGTGCACCTATTCAATCAATTTTGACAAGTAGAACCTTTTTTGGGTATGAAAGGTATATCCGTTATACTTTGAGGGGTGCTCCAAGATATTAGAAAATGTAAGAACATCAACCTAAAAACAAAAAGAACCGAAAAAATCTCTCAAAATCAACCATGATAGTCCATCGGAATCAACAAAAAAAACTTCAAAATTCCCTTAAAACCGTGGAATTCGGCTAAAAACAAATCGACCGACTTTGTGAAACTTTGATCCGTGCTCCCACGTGGCAAAAATCCTAGGTCTACAACGGGAGAGGGGGCAAGACAAGTATAGAGTTACTCAGATTGTCAAGCTTGACTTTGATAATATACGTGTAACCAATTATTTTTCAAAAGAGCGCAAGAAGTGAGATACCATGCGCATATATATTCATTTGATCACCAAATTTGTATAAACAGTGCAAACCTCATTCAACCAATCATAATTTTTTATTTTATTTATTTTTTGTAATTATAAGAGGTTGATTAATCATTTTTATTATGGAGGGTGATAATCATGGATATTATCATCTTCATTATTTTAATTTAAAAAAAATACATGAAACAGTTTCATTAAATATTATATGAAACAATTTCATAACCATATATGAAACTAACTTCATAAAAAAAGTATTATATGAAAAAATTTCATAAGATTAAACAATGAAATCGACGGATGAGGATGGTTTGCACGGTTTGTATAAATTAAGTGGTTTGCATTTGATCGCTACTCTCTCTCTCTCTCTATATATATAAATCCCATTAGAGAAATGGAATTCATGATTGGGGTTAAAAACTTGAGATGGAAGACATCAACAGTGAAAATTTGATTCCAATTGTACCTTGGAACAAAACTGGAAGCTGAAATAGCATACCCACTTTCCGACGAAGCTCAAGAACATCAAGGCCGGTGATATCGTTTCCGTCGAGAAACACCGTGCCGGAAGGTGGTTCCCATAGACGATTGAGTGCTCTGAGTAGCGTTGATTTACCGCTGCCACTTGGCCCAATGATCCCCATGATTTTGCCTTTGGGTATGTCCAGGTTAACATTTTGAAGAATCGTAACTCCTTTATCTAACGATCTCGTCAAATCCTTCACTTGTATTTTGATTTCTGATCCGTTGAATCCACCATTTTCGTTTATGTTCACGTTTACTGATAGTAAACCTTCACGAGCACCATCTGTTTGTTAAAATGCCAAACCCAAAAATTAGTGATGAAGTTGGAATTAGAAGGAAAGATATACAGTAAATGTGGTGGTACCTTCAAAATTCTCCATGGAAACTGGGGCAAGGCTGTATATTGCGATCTGACACACAGATTATGAAGATGAAGACTTGCAAGTTGTTTCAGTTTCCATGGGGTATCACCTGCCCAGTTGTGGCATTCTTTTGTGTATCAATATCAAATTGGAACACGATTAATATACCGGAATGATGATGATACACTCCACATGTGAATGCGTGCTGCGTGTGTGCATATATATATATATATATATATATATATATATATATATATATG